AAGTTTATTTGTTGTTTGGGTGCAAAAGTAGTATGGAAGCTTACTGGATAGTTGAGTTGTTTATATATTCTAAAGTAGTCCTGTTTTGATTTCTAAAAACAGGTTGACCATGCATTGGTGATTTCTGTTATGTAAACCAGTGGTTTGGTTTTAGACTCGAGACTTTTTCCTACATACATTTAACAGTCTGTAAATTTACCAACGTAGGCATGCATGAACGTGACTGTATTCCTCAAATCAGATATGATTTGAAGTATACCTTATGTTCTCTCATTTAAAAAATTTAACAGTGTAACTATGAATCATCCATTACATGTGTGCTGCCTGCTGCTTACCTTAGGGGCTTTAGCCAAAATCATGTTGCGACAGTTGCATATGTACTGAAACAATTGCAGGGGGAACCTTTAGAGCTCTCTTTGTCCTTTTAAAGTGTTCCATAATTGTTGCGGTTTTACCATTCATTTCCAGCTCTTGCTGCCCTACCTCAAATTTGATTCCTAGTTTTAGTAGTCTCTATATTTGTTCTTAAAGATATCTGCTTTGGCCATGAAAAGAGTGACCAGATTTCTAAAGGTGACTGCTTAGTTGGTTGCATTTGAGTACTCTTGCTAGGAGACTTGCTAACTTTGCTTAAAGGCTGTTATGCTGATGCAGTATTTTTTTTTTGTGGGGTTGATACAGTATAAGATGTAAGAGCTTAAGAACTTTCTTTGTCCTTTTTTTAATTGTTTCAATTTTGCCTTTCATTTTCAGTCCTTTTTTTGGGGGGTTGAAATGTGAGGACTTGCTGATGGTGCTTAGAGGCTGTTAATTTATTCTAATGCAGTTTTACTTTTGGTATTGAGATAGTATAGGATGTTACTCTGCAGGAAACATCTGCAAATCCATCAAGATGCTTGTTAGAAACAAAGTTGATAATGTATTTGATTCAAGAAGCAGTGAATTTTTCCCTTTAGTTTGACCAATGTTTGTATCCAAGTTTCATTTTGCTCCAGTTAGCAATTTAATTTCGAGTTCATCTGAAACTTTCTCATTGGGCTATTTGATGTTATGGATAATAAGTCTCGACCATTATTTTATGCATGGAATTTAATCTTCAGTGATCTTTCACAGCAAAGTGAAGCGGGTTGGGTCGGGAATATTGATGCCTCATGATAGAGTGCAGTGCAAAAAATTAAGTGAATGTAGAACAATGCTATGACGAGCTTGTCTTAAAGGTAACTAATTAAAGTCCGTGCAGTTTCTTCCGCAATTGACAGCCTTATGTTTTCATTAGATACTCCTTCCCTGAGACAAGTTTATGTATTTGATTGGATGCAAGAGAAATAGTGAAGGTAATTAAAGCATTTGATTTTGATAACTTAGTTGTTGATATACTGAAATATAACTGTTCCTGTTTTACTTCTGAGACAAATTGATACCATATAATGGTTTGTGTAATCCTAGATAAGGTGCCAATTTTTTCTGTTGCAAACTTACCTCAGATAAATTGCAAAAGCTGCATTTTGGTTGATGTGTATAATTGAAGGGAAATATGCAGTATTCTAACTTGATTAAAGGTCACCATATACAAATATGTTTTTGGCCATGTAATTATTTTGATCATCCAAATCATTATGTTCGACATCCTAGTGTTGGGACATGTATAACTGCTAATATCACTGACGCCTTTGATTCATAGTAAAATTGCTAGAATCTTTCTGCGTTTTTAGGTGCATGGATAGGGTCTATTATTTAATATCACTTATCTCTGGCATTTGGGTTACCTTTTAGTGGTTGTGGTTGAGACTTAAAGTTAATTAAACACATCAAAATGGGTTTTGATGAACTTATCTTTTACTTGCAGTGTTAATCTAGCGTTAAGACGGAAAGATTACTTCCTTCCTGCTAGAATTTGATGCTCTAAACTATGGTTGTCTATCTCGATTACTACAGAGCTATTTGTCCATAGATTGAGGTAAGGCACAATGCAGCCCGAGGTTGGTGTGTTTTCATCCTCACCAAGTCCTCCCATTTTCAAGTCTGCATTTCATTTGGTCTCATTCAAGCAGAAGTATGGTGCCTCTACTTCAGTGGAGGGAAGAGAAGGAAATGGATTTAGGGATCTCTACTTCGGCATGTCATGTTTGAGAAGGACTCAACAGAAGTAGCTTTCAACTGTTCTCATTATAGCCTTTCCACTTAAGACACCATCTTTTAGTTGGGAATTTACTTGCATTCATCAAAGGACAATAGGATGATATACGTCATATATTTTTCACCTAGGCCCAGCACTACTGCTTATCAATTTAGATTAATTTATTTCACTATGTTTAATGCATAGCTTCTGCCCTCCTAGCTTTTCAAATATGAGGAGGATTGAAAAGAATCCTAGTGTCAGTCCATTCTTTATTTATCGTTTTTATTACATGTTTTGGATGCTAGGGACCACCAAGGTACAAGATGCCATCATCTAGAGAAGCGTTTGAAAAAAAACTGCAAGCGTAGAAACATGATCTTCGGTTAAACAAGGTCTGTTTCTTTTTCTAGGTGTGTTTTTAAGGCTAAATAAGAGTCCTT